GACAGCAACTTGTCTGTTCCCCTTCCCCCAATTCCCCAGCGCTGTTCCCATCCCCCCAATTCCCCAATAAAAATATTAAAAAAAAAAAAAGAAAGAAGCTTTTCTTAGGATGTTGTGGTCAGCAGCGGTAGTGTGTGAAAGGTGCTTGGTAAAGTGGGAGGGCATAGAATCAGCACTCAGGTGTGCCTGACTCACAGTGACTCTTCTCCCTCTGTCTTCTGTGCTTGCCCTCCCCACTCCCCACCTTCTATACTGAGTGGTTCAAATCACAGCTTTGTCATGGGAGGACTGGGTTTGCTCTTGGCTCCACCCATTCTTGTTAAGTCACCTGGGACAAAATCTTCCACCTTGAGGTTGTTTCTGTATCTGGAAATTGATGATGATGACGACGACGACAATGACATCAACAATGATATACCCAAGTTCATTTTAAGTTTCAACACAGTGGTTGGAACATAATAAATGTTCAATAATTGTTATTATAACATGATTATTAATATTACTTCAAGGATCAAAGCCTCTAATTCCCTGCTGAATTTCTGAGGTGCTGGCAGAGTTGAGATGGGGGTGGGGTAAACTATAAAGCTTAGATGAGTGGTCAGTGACTTTTCAGAGAAGACATACTGTTGTGATTTCTTCATTTAAATTTAAATGAGATCTCTAAGGTTCCTTCAGTTATAGCACAGCCCCCGCCCCACACCCCCAAGATGATGACAGAGAAATGGAGCTCCCGTAGACCCCCTTACTAGAAGCTGTTTTTGAGGGTTTGGAGAGAGGAGAACTGCTAGGCCTGTAAGGTAGCAAGTAGCTTCTTTTTTCTGGACTTATCCACATTCCCCTCTCCTGTCCTTCCAAAATGTAAATATACTCAAGGAGGGTCACCACTTGAGGTGTTGCCAGTTAGCACCGCCTAATCCTTTGCTGATTTAGAGTTAGTTGGGAATTAACTAACAATTGTTTGAAAGTAAAGACAGGACTGGGCTGGGGTGAGTCCTGGGGAGTGGCTCCAGGGTGTGGAGCAGAGAAGGACTCAAAGACCAATTGCGTGTTTCACTGAGCCCACTTACACTCAGCTCCTTTGCTGAGCCTGCCTGGATACAATCTACAACACATTGTCTTTACCCTTAACAAACATAGACATTCTAATCACTCCAGCTCTTAGCCTGGCTTCTTCAAAGCACTGATTAAGCTGAACCTAATCCATATAAACTGTAATATTCCTCTGTGTGTCCAGTGGTAACTACACACTCCTCTCTAGTTTATTCGAGCCTCATGATTTGAACAGCAGCTTAATTCTGGCTCTCCCAAACCATTGAGAAAGAGCCCTTTTCCTTACCCATGGCTGATAAGCAAATAGCAGAGAGTCCTCACCTTACAGCACTGCAGCACGGCCAGTTTCTCTGCCTGCCTTCCCAGCGAGCGTGGCAGCCATCTTTCTCTGCAGCATGATGACTCAGACTGGACTCTTGTCCATCCCCAACAGAACTTGTGCACAGTTTCTGACATGGTTTAAATGAGGGGGTCATATGTGTCATTACCCCAAGTCATCAAAACAGCAATTAACTCAATAACCATGACCTTAAGCCAGTTGTTTCCCTAGGGAGTACAAAGTTGGAAACCAAATTATAGCGAGCATGACTCAGCCATGAGCTTCCATGAAGCAAAACTAAATAGTGCAAGTGTAAATATTGTAAATATTACAGTCCAGAGGGGCAATGCACAGCCTCTTTTTTGGGAGGAAAGGATTATGGGGACATAGAGAACTGTACAGAAGAAAGAATGAAAAAAAGAGAGTAGATCTGGGGGAACACCTTTTTGTAAATGAATATCCACAGCTTTCCTATGTTGTGTATTGTATCATACATTATGTGATATATATACCTTATTAAGAAAAAGTTCTGGTTAAATTTCTCCTAGGAGGTTAATATCTTTGGCAACAATGGTATAAAAAAGTTGGGCTAATCTCATTATACATGCTGACTATATATAGTTGTATTCTTTAAAATTACATTTTTTAAGATTAAATTATACTTTTCATAAAATAGAAGAGCTAATTTTATAAAGGAGCTATGGAAGCTTTTTGAAAAAAGTATTTTGAGTATTTCCTCTCCAACAGATTTGGTCATTTAATGATGAAAACCGTGTTTTCTCTTCAAACTAGAAACTCCTATATTCACTTAATATGGCAGTAATCAGAGGAGAGTTTTCCAGCCAAATGAAGGTCCCAGAAATATTACAACCAAGGGCTTTGGAAAAAGTTCTTTTTCTGAGTGTAAAATTAACATGTGCACATAGATTATTTGAAAAAAATACAGAAAAGCATAAATAAATGAATATTACTAATGTAAGCTCACCACAAGACAGTAATACTTTGCGGTTAATACTTCAATGTGCTTTCTTTTTTTGTATGTATGCATTTTTCACATAATTTTGATCATACCATACTATATATGCTTTTATCCTACCTTTACATACATCTCATTAGTGGGTTCTCACTTTTGAAGGTTTTTTGGAAAATGTTTTAACACAAATGTGTCAGGCTATTTAATTGTATTCATTATTGGATATTATCAATAATAACTAGTGTTGCTGGGAACATTTCAGTATACTAATCTTTGATTCTCTGCCCATTTCTTTAGGATGTGTTTTTAGAAAGGGAATCAATTTATTTAGGCATCTGACAGATTGCCAAATTGCATTTAGACAGATACTATTAATACTGATTTTCACTCATTAGTGTTTATGTGTGCTCTGACTTCACTGTACCCTCAGTGTCATTGAGTTTTTTTATTTATTTGTTTTGATCCATTTTTTTCTCAACCCTGGCTTCACTTTGGAATCAATCCAGGAATTTTACACAAACAAACAAAACAAGTCTATGCCTGAGGTCTACCCCAAACCAATTAAATCAGAATTTTGAGGGATTTGGGGGCCCAAGTCATCTGTAAGTTTAAAAGCTCCTCAATGAGTCTAGTTGAATAGAAGGGGTTCAGAAATACTTTCCTAATTGAGTAAATGAAAACTATTCTATTTTAAATATTTTTGATGTTAAAGCACATTAGAATCTAAGTGGTATAGGTTTGCCTCTTTAACTTGAAAAACATACTGTAAAATTATTATCCTGGCCAAAATATGTTGCCCCAAGTTGACTTTCACATATTTAGAAAAAAATAAGGCTGTTTCTGCACCCTAGCCCCATTACCATCTTAATATTAGTTTTTAGAAAAGTTTTGCAGGACCTCTTCTACTTTTTCTCATTTCACCTCTAAACTTTGTATCTCTGAGGCTCTTTTAGAAGTAGTAAATTTAAATTTAAATTGTCTTTATTGAATTTAAATTAAATTTATTAAGTATTTCATTTATTTGGGCATTTTCAACACTAGACTACGCACCGTCCATGTAAGAGCGTTTTTCTGTATCTTAGTGTAACGTCTTTTCCTTATTTGTTGTTTGCTACGTAAAAATATTAAAGAAGACAATAAATAGCCTGATAAAAATATTAAAGAAGACTATAAATAGTTTGGCTTGTCATGTTTGATGAAGCTGAAGACATGTTCTTTGGTTGCATTGGTCCAGGGAAATCCTTTATGCTCACCATGTTAGCACAAGCTGATGTGAAATATTTTCCTCTTTGGTGAACTATTTTCCTGTGTGTGCGAAATACGGAAATATTTCCCCTCTCACTCCTAGTGACCTTTCCTCATAATCTGATGCCAGATATTTGTCATCTCCCTAAAGGCTCTGATTTCCTTATTTCTATCTTGCCTCTGCCCCCACCCCTTACTCTTCCCCAAGAAGAAGGAGAAAAACTTTTCCCGCAGTCCAAATACTCGTTCTCTCATACTCTTGCAGCTAAGAGTGGCAAAAAACCACAATTTTGTCCAATTGCATGTAAACAAAATTCTGCTGACAGCTTTGGGGAAGAGTTTTATTTTCTGAATAAAGGTACAGTGATACGGGAACCCCATTTCCTTACTTCCGGCGTTGAATTCTGATGTGATACCTGGGTTTCAGCAGCCATCTTACAAG